AGAAAAGTAAAATTTGGTTTCGTTAAATTTGCTTTCTAGTGCCGAGTATGATGATGAACTACATCCGGCAGCAAGGCCTTTGATTGAGAGATTAGAGGTTTTGAGGAAATTGGAACCAACTCTTAATTGATATTGTTCCCAGGTCCACCCTACCTGGGGTGGTAGCACCTGTTAGGGTCCCAGCTATGGGTAAATAGTGAACCCTCAAACAAAAGCAGAACAATATGAAAATATAAAAATAGATTTTTATAGTAAAAATACCAATAATAAATTTTTATATAAAAAAATTACTAACAGTACCTATTTATATTAGAATAACCAGCAACACATTTATAGCAAAATTACCAACAATAATTTTATCTGTAGCTGAAGGCATACAATTATGTTCAAAATATATTTAATTGAAGCCATAAAATTGTTCAAAATATTTAGATTTCGGCATTAAATAAGCCATAAAGGTTGATATGCCGCTAAATAAAATCAACCAAACAGCCAACATGAAAGAACTCTTTCATGATATTAATCTATATAATATCCTACAATTTCTTAAAGAAATCAAACTATATTCCAAAATATAACTTCGACAAAACTACAACATAAAAAACTCATACCACCGTCTTTATTAATTACGTCGACACAAACATGTATATACACAAAAGCTGGGTATCATCTACCAATTGTGAAAGCAGAATAACATATATCATATTTTTATTACTTCAAAGCTCCCAAGAAAATTAAATTGTGGCATTAAATGACCCATATGCCGTTAAGTAAACAAATCAATAATGTTGCTTTCTATCTTAATATCAAAACCAGCGAAGTCAGTTTTAGTGAGTTGTCATTTATCCAAAATTCATCTAAAAGAATGCGTAGTTCTAGTGTGGTAAAAGGAGGGCCTTGAAAATAGCTGAGAACTGGACAACGAAAAAAGTCACAAAGGAAGAAAATTGCTTTGGATTCATGAAATAACAACAAAATTCTACCAGTTTTCGAAATGGGATTTACATTGTTTTTTTTTGTTTTTTTGTTTTTTGTTTTTAATTCAAAGTAATTTGATACAAAGATCAATAAAATTTACATGGGCTGAATAAAGAAAGAAACTGGAGAAAGAAAGAAAGAAAGAAAGAAAATCTTGACAAAATCCAAAGAATCTGCAACATTATCAGTCCCGACCTGGCATCTCGGCTTCAATCACTTTCCCATCGCCGTAACGTAGCTTCTCTGTGTCTTTTCTTTAAATATTTTCATACCAATTGAACTCTCATCTTTTCTACTCGCCTTCACGAAATTAAGCGCAATACTAGATTGGCAGTTAGGTCTCATCGTTTTACTGGTGAAATTGCTAAGTGTAAGCATTAGTCCTATTTTAATTTCTTTTTTCTCACACATCTAATTTATGGATCTCTCTTTCGTTTTTTGCTTTCCTGTCAAGTGCGATCTTCAAAAATTTGCTTGAATCCTTTTGTTTTTATCATCCTTTCTCCTCGACAACGTGTTCTCAGTTTCCTTCTTGCTTCCCTGTTCACTGCGATCTTCAAAAATTTAAATGCAGCGTCAATCGTTATTGTCTGTTTCCTTGAATCCTGTTGTTTTTATCGTCCTTTCTCCTCAGCAAAGTTTTCCCAGTTTCCTTTACACCCAGTAACTCCTTGTATCGTAGTGGCTTTGTCGCCTTGTTTGGAGGTGAAAAGATTTAAAATAACCAAAAAAGGGAAAAAATAGAAAAGGCTGACATGGAATCAATAGTTTCTATAGATTCAAGTCAATTTTATGTCCATAAACGTGAGACCAAAAGTGTATGTAGGCATGTCGGTGTATGTCTTGTTCATGTGTTTGCCCGAGTGTATGCGTTATCTATCTATCTATCTATCTATCTATCTATCTATATATATATATATATATATATATATATATATGTATATATGCGCTACACACACACACACGCACACGCACACATATATATATATTTAGTGGACTCAGCAATTTTCAATCTTCTTGTCTGAATCATCTTCAAGAAGCGAGAGCAAGATCTAAAAGGTCAGCCAATCTAACAGTGATCTCATCTCACAATACTCACACTTGCTCCATATGTGACCTCCTTTGTAAATCACTAGCGGGTCTTAAATGCCACTTAAGATTATCGCACAAACTTTCATAACTGAAGCAATAAGCTGTCAGATCCTCATACGTCGAAACCGACAGGAGAGTCCATTATATATATATATATATATATATATATATATATATATATATATATATATATATATATATAATAAATCCAAAATGTCCAGGAACCCCGGTTGTATAAAGGCAGGTAATCTTTAAGAACCTATTCTACTTATTTTCTTTTCAATCAGAGAATGTAGAAAAAAAACACTTTATTCTTCAAAAACAATTAAACCATATTGATAATTTAATAGAAAACATTTATTTATTAAAATATTTCCAGACTGAAATTCTGTTCTCATCATATTTCTATTCAGAAGTAAGATGCTTTTTGACTTTAGTGTTATCAGTCACATTCGAATTGCATCGCTGCAGTCCTAAAGATCCAATGAAAGACCTATCAAATTTATGACTAGAAGATTTGTCACATTTTAACTTAAAAGAAGATTTCTTTTGTCAGAATAATTTATGTTCATCACGTGAAATCCTCTTTCAGCTGCTGCAGAACTTACGGCAATGGTATTGTGGATGACATATATATATATATATATATATATATATATATATATATATATATTCGTCTCAGACTATCTATACTGCTATGCCTGCCTGTATATTTCCATTTTGCAGAGATTTTCCTAAGCAACCTACATATTTGCTGACATTAATAGAAGTCTATGTAATAGGTAATCAATTTGTACGATCTCACTCAATGAAAGAATATATTTACTAAACTTAGTCTTAGCCTGATGCAGTGTTACACTGGTGGACAAAGATTGTGTTGCGCCAGTCTCTAAAGTGAGAGGGTCCAAATTGTGTTTAAAAAATTAGAAAAACGCAGCATCTGAAATTCTGGTTTTAACTGGGCTTTGATATCAATTATTGGCGTTAATCAGAAAATCCTTAAACATTAAGGAGTACTGTTTTCATATATAAGAGAAACACTTGACAACGAAAGGATTTTAATGTGGTGTTTACGCTTAAGGGCATTTAATCTTACCTCTGCCTTAGTTACCAGAGTATGACATTCGATAATAGTGTTGGGGAAATATTGCCAGGCTAAAATTGCCAATATGAAAATACAGATGTAAAAATCTATCACTGTATTATCCATCAAGAGGCTATGAGATAAAGGTAAATCTCAGTTACTCCAATCATAATTAAATTCTTAACAGCAAATAGAGTTTTTTCGTTATTTCTTGTGATACCCCAGGTTATAAAATTAGTCATTTTTGTTTTGTTTTAAGAGTTAAGGTTTAATTTGTCCGAAACAGTTAGTCTAAAATCAGGATATTAATCTATATAATAAATGCGAATATCAGTGTGTCACTCTTTTTCAACTTTACTTCTAGAGGCCCAACATATCATACCATTTTGGAATCATACCAAGTCTGTGAGCAAATTAAAAACATTCAGGGTAGGATTCGGATCCGCAAACCTGGAATTTTGGATTCCCATTTTTCATTACTGCGATTGTTTTCGATGATTTTTTGCGCCGTTTTTTCTGTACGATAACAATTTTGATAACTTGGAAATAAATTCGAGAATAATCGAAATTATTTGCGAAATCCAGCGAAAGTCACCCATGAAATAAAAACAATTAGGGTCAGTAGGGCGGCTTTTAAGCTAGTATATTAATAAAGATATTCTTCTTCTTCCATTGTCCCTTCAGGACATGGGTGATCATAGCTCTCCACAACTTCATACACAGGGTGCAATGGTTAAATTATCGCCATTTTATACTTTTAATTTCGCGCATGCGTGTTGTTTGTTTTTGTTTTTGACTGCATAGCATACTAGGGTCAGCTGGGTACCGTCTGCGAGAAAAAACAGCACCATGACGCAATTCCCTCTGCCAGAAATTTGGAAACGACATGCTGTACTGCTTGGCATTCGCGCCGAAAGCTCCAATACGAACATTTCTGAGTGCTTGACCGTCAATCTGGGGACAGTGCAGAAGATTCGGAAAGAATTGGATGAGTCTAATAGTGATTACGAAGGTGGTTGGAACGATCACTAGTAATGGTGACGTTATACTCCCATTCATCTTCCCACATGGGCTCAGACTGAACACAGAGGCCTACACCAAGTGCTGCCCTGGGTCAAGAGGGTGGCTGCTGGAAGACCCTATGTCTGACAAAGGGACTCTGTATTATACCCCACAAGCAGAAGAACTCAGTCATAGCTGTCAGACAATTTCTACGACCAAATCACCCTTACACCTGGCCACATAACTCCCCTAATTCCAAGCCCATTATCCATTACACCACCTGCACACCCAAGCTTACAGCACTTATGACCCAAGCGGTCACCCATCTAGGTGTTTCATCCTGCTGCGACCGTTGGCCGAAGGAGATAGGATGTAATTAGATGAGACAGGTACTGGATATATACAAAGGCTTTTAGGTGCTTTCACCCCAGTTCACAGTGGACCTGCGAACAACAGCAATTAAGAGGATATCCCACACTTCTCAACACCTCCAATCTCTCGATCAGACGCCTTGCTGCCAGATGTAAATCTCAGGTTTCAGCCTAAATAAGGAATATGCTGTATTATATTATTGTAACTGCGGCTTCAAATTGATAAAGTACCTGACTCTTCCACGACGAAAGAGGACAACCTGCAATAGGCAGAAATGTCTAAGGACCAGACATATTAAAACCTGAAATGAAATCAGCATTGGTCAAGTTAAACAGAAACAAAGCAGCAGGACTAGATGAAATTGTAACAAAAATGACAACAGGCTTAGATGATTTCGGCATTGGCAAGATTATAGCAGAATTAGAACTCGGCTCTCCGATTAACAATTCTGAGTACCACCTGCACATACAAGATTACAGCACTTGGTATTCCCAAGCGGTTACGGATCTAGATACTGACCAAGCTCGATGTTGCTTAACTTCGGTGATCATACGGGAACATGTGTCTCAACGTGATACGACCATAAGCCAAAAGAGATGAGAAGCAATAAGATGTCACAGGCACTGGACATATAAAAGGCCTTTGACAAAACGTTGGTTGGTTGATTCGTTTACAACTGCTTTGCAGGTCATTTAAAATCAGAAAATATTATTAGAGTGTAAGAATGTTTTCTTTGAGGTAATAACTGTTTAGTGATACAAGTCTTACTAATTAACCCATAGCTAGGGAGAGATGTAGATCCATACCTTTCCCAAAAGTATTTGTGCAAAAGGGAATATAACGAAACCAACAGCAATTGGAACTCGGCTCTCCGATTAACAATTCCGAGACATTATCCATTACACCACTCACACACTCAAGCTTACAGTATTTGGTATCTCCAAGCGGTCACCCATCTAGGTAATGACCAAGCTCGATGTTGCTTAACTTCGGTGAACATATGGGAAGCAATAAAAAAAATAACAGGCACTGCACATATAAAAGGCCTTTGACAAAAAGAGAAGAACGACACACAGTAAATATAAATGTGCAAAAGTTGTCCGCATGCATCCACAGTTCCACACACCTGCATGCATAAACATATACAAAGGAACAAACGCTGTTATGTGCGGATTATGGGCAAAGTATTAACGGCTTAAATGGTGGGAATTGGCGATTGGTTTGTTATTTAGCTATCATGGTCAGAGAAAAACTGTTTGCCAGAGCCCAAATGAAAATTGCTGTCAGCTAAGAACAATGTACTCAATAATCAAACAGGAACACAAAGGAAGAAGATTGTATTCGCACGTACATTCGATGCTGGATTATTTCAAAGGTAAAAGCTGTAAATCTGAAAGCGTCAAAGTTCCTGTTATTTGTTTTGAAAGCTGGTACGTAAAACCACAACTGCATCATAACAAATAAACGAGTAATATCATGGCGAATAGAAGAGGGACACTAGAGAAAAAAATTGTTTTTCTTTCAGTTTATCAAATTACAGTTTAAATTTTATTCTTCACCTTCCAACAATTCTAATAAATGTATCTGTCCGAAAATAAATACACGAACGCGAGTTCGATCCTTACTTCTACCTCATTTCAATAACCTTGGACGAGAGCGTGCGTTCCTGTATTCCTTCGAAAATTTCTGTTGTAATTTACGGAACGTTACTGAATAGAATAATCAAACTAAAGTTAGTAACGAACGATAATACTTAGGAAACGAACAACACATATAAGATTCGCCTGCGGCACGTAGAAGAAGTAGTCAACCTCTACAAGTGAGTCAAGTGAATTCCACAATGAATCTCTAACTGCAGGATATCTACCAACCGCCCCACACGGTCAGATGTAGCACAAGGCCGAATTTAATGTGGGGTATCCGAACCCGGAGACTCGGTCAAAATTTCCCCGTAGACACCGTATAAAACACTGATAATAAAAACTAGCACTATAACCGAGTATACACAGTAGATATAATGTTGTTCTTTTTTTAATCGTTTCACCCGAAGTAAGGCAATAATGCCACTAAGACGCGCATGGTTACAGGGAGTGAAAGAGAATGAGAAGACCTTAGATTGAGAAAAGCACAATAAAGTAACATGGCTAGAGAAGGCAGAAGATTGACGTTGCATTTAAATTTTTGAAGGTAGGTGTCAGGGAAGCAAGACATCGAAAGAGAATTCCACAGGTGAAAAGCGCGGAGAAAAGAAACTTAGAATAGAAATGGTGGTTATATCTAGCTAGTTCAACAGTAAAACAGTGAGACCTAGTTGCCAATCTAGTAGCACGCTTAAATTCCCGTTGTCGAGGCACCAGGGAAAAAGCTCATCAGTCCATGAACATATTTGTAGAAAAAAAAGTGGGAAGCCACGTCACGTCGGTATGAAAGTGATTGAAGTTGAGATGCCAGGTCAGGATCGATTACATTACAAACCCTTCTTTGAATTTTGTCAAGAATCTCGAGATACATACAAGACCAAATATGGTAGAAGTATTCAATGCATGGACGGATGGTAGATTTATAAATGTACAGTATGGATTTTGGCGAGAAAATTGTTTGGCACGACATATTGAATCAACTTTCCTATCAGTAGACCTAGCAATTGACTCACTATAATCACTCCAATTCATGTCAGAAGAAAACGTGAGCCCAGGATACAACAAAGTATTGCTCTCCTGGGGCTTAGCATTAGCCACGTTGTTGGCAAGCCGAAAAGTATCAGTGTGGTTTTCTAAACAAAAAACACAGTTTTTAATACTTCAAAAAGTATGGACATCTTATAAACTAGTTTTCTCTTCGATACCTATTTGAACAATATCCACTTTTGATACTGTAAGGCGCGTCAGACGTTATTTGAAGACGACAGCACTGTGTTCGTTATTAAATTGTTAAAAACGAACTCCGCTTTCTCACGAGTTAATGTGTCAAAGTGAAAACAAAACATCTTTACTTTACATTCCTTATTGATTTTCATCTGTCCATTAGTTTATTCTGCTGTTGCTTATATTTGCAGCACTCGAAGTATCTTATAAACCCATTCGACTGACGATCTTCGATGCGGCTGCGTGTACGTATTAGACTCGTCACTGGCTGAAACCTAATATCTACATATCCGCAATGTAGAATTCGAAATAGACAAAAGAAATAAAAAGCTACATAGATATGCATAGAGAGATGTATATAATTTTCTACGAGTGTAATTGACAGACTTTCGCTAATATATTAAAGTAGTTCAGTTGTTTGAACAGGCAAACGGAGATCCCAAAGAATCCAGATTCAGTCTCGGGTTTGGTTTGGTTTGGTTTTGGTTGTTTTTATTTAGCGGCATATTAACACCTCTATGGGTTATTTAATGTCAAAATCTAAATATTTTGAACACAATTTTATGGCCTCAACTACATATATTTTATGCATCATTTTATATTTCCAGAGTAAATGTATTCTTTATACATATATATTTTATAAATTATCCAATGTAGGTGTTATGTTTTGCTATAAACTTATTACTTTTTTTTTGTTTAGCGTCGTATGATTTATTTAAACCTGAAATCTAAATATGAACATTCAAACTTCATAATTAATTCAAGAGAAAAACATTATTTGATGATTAAATTATAGTTAACTAACTGCATTAATCTTACAAAATCAAACTAGGAATGAAAACTTGTTTCTCCATACAAGAAATGAGATTAATCATAGCAAATTGTATTTTTTTCCAATGTACGCCATGTCTTCAATTTTACTATAAAATTTACTGATTGTCATTTTGATATAAAAATATATTGCTGATCATTTTCTATAAAAATACGTTGTTAGTCATTTTACTATAAAAATGTATCGTGGGTAATGTTTTTAATAAAAAAAATCTATTGCTGGTATTTTTACTATAAAAATATTTTTATACTTAGTGTCACAACTTGGTAAGGGGGTCCGTAATAATAACGACCACACAGTTTAGTCTGATTACTTCTCTGCCGGCAGAAGTAATACTCCTGATTTTTATTCACACATAATATGGCCAACACGGTACTTCACTGATGAACAATGGCTGAAATGGTACTTCCGTTTCTTGAGTTCCCGGTTACAACACTTTTTGTTTGTGGGTTCACTATTTGTCCATAGCTGGAACCCTAACAGGTGCTACCACACCGGATCTAGGAACAATTGCAATAAAGAGGTTGTCCCACGCATCTCAAAACATCCAAAATCTTGATCAAATGCCTTGCTGCTAGATGTAAATCTCAGGTTTCAGCGTGAATGAGGAATATGTTGAGTCAATTATATCATCTAATACAACCATTATTGAAACTTCAAATTGATAAAGTAACTGACCTTTCACCGACGAAAGAGGCAGAAATATCTAAGGACCAGAAATATTAAAATCTGAAGTGAAATCAGCAGTGGCCAAGTTAAACAGAAACAAAGCAGCGGAACTAGTTGGATTTATAACAAAGATGACAACAGGCTTAGATGATTTCGGCATTGGCAAGATTACAAACATAATAAATAAAATATACAACAGTGGTGATATACCAGAATACCTAAGCAGATCCATTTTCATAGCACTGCCTAAGGAGCCAAGGGTAAACGAATACAAATCCATTGGACAATTAGCGTAATGTACCACATAGCAAAAAATATCATCCGAATTTTCATGACTAGAGTGTGCAGGAGAATTAGACCGGAAATAGGACAAAAACAATACGGTTTCCTAAAAGATTGGAACAAGGAATGCGATATTTATATCAGAAAGAGCAATACAAATTGCAAAAGGGCGTATACCTATGTTTAATAGATTATGCAAAAGCTTTCCATAAAGTACGTCACAAAGATCTGTTGGAACGTCTAGGTAAGCTTGATATATTTGAAAAGGATGTTAGAATAATCCGGAATTTAAACTAGGAGCAAACCGTCTACATACGGACAGCAAATGAATTCAGAAAATATACAAACATAGAAAGGGTTGTAAGACAAGGATGTGTCTTCCCACCGGACTTATTCAACCATTACAATCAGGATTCATTATTAGGGCCCACAATCTTAACAACATTAAATATATAGATGACACAATGTTGATAGAAGGCACATAAAGAAAATTACAGGAACTCCTACAGAAGTTAGTAAAGGAGAGCGAGAAGAAAGGACTAATCATCAATTGCAAGAAGATGGAATGCATGGCTGTTAAAGAAAAGGATGAACTCAAGATGCGGATTACAAACTGGAGATACCAAAATGAAGCAATTATAAAAAATTAAATATCTAGGAAGTGTTTTTACAGAGGGCGATAAATGCGACACGGAAATCCGCATTGGGATAGCTGTTAAATATAATGTAGTTAAAATGATTTTTTTTATAGTAAGGTAAGGAATGTTAAGTAATAGTTTCAGACTATTATTTTTCAGTGGCAGTGTATTTTGGCTCAGACCTTCTGAGGCTGACCTTTAAGGTCAGATGGTAGACAAAATAAGGATGTTGATTTTGATTGGCTGAGCCGAACGTGGGAATGTTAGATAGAAAGTGATTTCAGGGCGTTAAGAACTTAC